CATTCCGAATAATTCAAAAAATGCATAGGAACTTCCAATACCGTTTCATATTTGTTAAAAAATACATGTGAAGCCAGTGAATGGGATTTATTGTGATAACTAATCTGAATTAATTGTTTTATTGCTTTTATTCATATATCATTTGAAGGCATTGGTAATTCTAAATCAGACCTCTTATCACGATTCATAAAAAAAAGGAATGAATTGTCATTGGTCGACTTATTTTTTTTGTAATCAGCAGAATCACTTTCTTTCTGGAACAGATAATATTAATCCGTCGCTGGTTACGCTCATCAAGATAGCTGCATCAATTTAAATAAACTTTTCCATAACGACCCATAATCCCTGCTTCTGGTTGACCATATATGCGAAATAATTTCATTCAACGTAATTCGTTCTGATCCAATCCAAAACGTTTTGAATTTTCCGAACTGTTAGCTTTTCCTTGATTCATGCTTTCATGGAAATAGTGAGATTATATTCCAAAACAAAATATATCAGTGCCAGACCGAGTTTCATGGGTGAGCTACTGCAATGTTTACTCTGTCACAGCTGAATAAAGCGTATGAAATGATCTGACGTGTGTCGTGAAAACCGTTTTCATTTTCAGCTGAAATTGAATTCCGCATGCTGAAGTTATTCGTGTCGTAATGAGGCGTGGAAAAGAATTCTCTGGAGGAATACAAGTGTGGCATGAAAATTTGCTCGGTTGGGTGCTGTGAATGTATTGTGTAGAATATTTCACTGGCATCATTAAATTTTGAGATTTTTTTCAAGTTGTGCAATACTAACTAGAGACTAGTAAATAAACGGGTGAAATGCTGTACGAATGTAGCCATTTACATGTTGCATTTTTGATTAATGTTGTGAAAGTATTGAATTCCAAGCTTAGGACAAGAGGTTATTCCAAATTTTGGATAAACGTTATCGACCAAAAAGGCAAAATTCATTTTCACAAAACGATATCAGCTTTTTGGAATGGATATCCGTGCACAGTAACGTTGGTGTTCCTGTCAAAGAAGCACTTCAATCATACAAAGAAAGCTATCCGAAGACGGGGACCTGGAAGATAGAACACTTTTACCTAGTAATCATGAAATTACCAGGATGCTGTGTACGGAACTGCTACTTCCAACTAAAGGACGAATTATTTACGTGAGATGAGGGACTGCCAATGGGATCGCCACTTTCACCGGTTATAGCCGACAAATATATGGGGTGGTTTAAAACTCCAGCATTGAAGAAGCCCACGAGGTGCTCCGAGTCAGGTTAAGATACGTGGACGACTCCTTCATAATATGGAACCATGAGAATGCAGAACTAGACACCTTCCTGAAGCACATCAACAACGTTAATCCTTCCAACACTTTCACAAAGTCCAATCACCATCAATCGACTAAGAGAGGAATCATCAAGACTCTACTAGACCGTGCTTTGGGGCTCTGTAATACAAAGGAAAGTCTCGAAAAGGAACTAGGCATCAGCAGAAATGACCTTTAACGGAATGGTTACTCCAGAGTGATGGTAGAACAGGCTTCAACTAGAAGATAGCAAGAGCTCCACAAGGAAGAGAAGCCTCCACAATCAGTACTTGTACTTCCCTACATCAGAGGATTATCAGAATTGATTAGAAGGATTGGGTCCAAGCATTACATCAGGACCTGCTTCAGATCTGGGAACACTATCCGTAGCAGCCTCACGAAAACCAGGCCACTAAACGCGGACTGCGATTCCAAGAATTGCATTTACCGGATAACCTGCTAGTGCGGAGAATCATACATGTGAAACTGAGAGGTCATTGAAAGTTCGCATTGCTGAGTACAAGAAACATACACAGCGAGTAGAAACGAGTAAATCCGAAATAGTAGAGCAAGTTTGGACTCATCAATATAACATCAAGTGGGTTCAAGCTGAAATCATCCACAAAGAGAAATACTGGTTTAGGAGAAAATTCAAAGGAGCCGCGTAGATGTTGTCTCACAACGCATTCAGTCAAGCTAGCGTAGAGATACGTAACATATGTAAACCTCTTATCAAGCGGAAAACGACCAAGTTACGCCAAACGGTCATCTCCCGCTAAAACCAATGAAGTGGAGAGAAGGAAGAGGGGATAGTTGAAATCACTCGAATGACCTATAAATAGTCGGATCTCGGATGAATAAGTCGAATTAACACCCGAAGACGATTGTGGATACTAACAATCGAAACGTCGTGACGTAACTTGGTTTGGAGTCTTTCAATTTTTATTTTTCATTTTTTGTTAATAATATTTTTTTATTTTTCATTTTCAGCTTGTATTAATATTTCAATTTTTTATTTTTTTGGTTGTCACTTGTATGTTATTTCTTTGTAATTTCAGTTTTCTGTTTAATGAAATTGTTATTTTTTGGTTAATCTTCTTAATTTTTTACAAATTCCTTCAGGGATTTCAAATCAATTTATATAATATTAGAAAATGGAAGTCCGAACTGATGAAATAGCTGTACTTTGTTTTCTGACTAACTTCTGAATTGTGTCTGCGTTGAAACCATTATTATGTCGTATCTATATGATTATTTCAATTTCTCTATCCAGATTGTTAGCAGACAAAGATAAAGAGAATGCTCTGTGTAATTGTAAGATGCTAATTCATGACTGTCGAGGTGGAAAGAATCACTTGGGATTGTAATGTCTGTATAGCTTGGTTTTCTAAATCCATTGAATTCAAATTTATCATTATCATGTGAAATGGTAAGGTCTGAGAAATGAATCTGTTTCTCTATCTGTATTTTGAGTAACCATGGTCTTTTTTGGTGGGGTTTCGCCTTCGGGAAGTGCCTCAGTGGTGGAGATTAGCATACTTTCACTCAACCAAGCATACATAATTAGATACATACAAATGGAATTAATTCTAAGATCTTCATTTATCAAAATAGAAATCAGAACTCCCAAACAGGCAATTTCCTATTTCCATTCCATGTACTACTGAAACTCCACAATTGGAAGTGACTGTTTGAGATTTTAGGTGATTGCATAAAAAAAGTTCAATTGAATCAAATCTAGAGACTATGGAGGCCACTTGGTACATCCTTCTCTTCCACTCCAATGGTATATAACTTCAGGTTTAGGATAAACATAACCACCATGTTCGCTCACTGTTGATTATCAACTCATTTCCAGTGTTTTCTATGTACAAATCAATGGCATGGCAATAGGCAGCAGAATAAGTCCTGTGGTGGCAAACTTTTTCATTGAAAAAGTTGAACAACGTCTTTAGTTCGAGCAGCAGAGAAGCCATGTTGTTGGCTGCGTTACGTTGATAATACTAATCAATTTTTTTTCTAAATCTTCTCAATTCACGATGAAATGGAACATCCACAAGACAATCGCATTCGTGAATATACCTACTGAACAGATGTGAAAATGAGATATTGGGTAGTGAGTAAGGAAATTGATTCACACTGAATAATGACTCAAACCAGCAGCTAGGATAAAAATATTTGACATATCTTTCAACCTGAGACTCTTCCCAAAAAACTCAATTATTTGAAAAATGGTTTAGATGGAATGTATGTAGCAAATGTGTAATAATGTGCAATACGACTCATAACGGAGAAAGTCAATCATATTCCGAACAGGCATATCAGTGAAAGAATTTTGTGTAGAATTTTGGAGAAACACGACATTGGAGTTATACCAGATACATTGTAGTTATCTATGGATTGGTCATTATTGCATCCTTGAAAAGAAGTATGTTACTGGTTCTCTGAACACAAGAAAAGTCGTCGCCTTGAATATTCCGACAAATCAGCACAAGCGAAATATGGAATTAGAGGAGGTACTCTGGTTTTCTCTTCTCAGGAACATATACTCTTTTCCAACTGAAAACAGGAGAGTCTGGCTACCTGCACTGAATTGCACACGTATCATATCTTTCAACGTATCAACGATCAACCAACAGGAACTAAGCCACGTCCACCACCAATGGAATGAAACCGATGGTTTCAAGGTTTTTGAATGAAGTATTTGGAAAATAGTTCCAACGCAGTTATCTCCAGCCGAAAGTTTACACCTATGAAATGAAATATCGGAAAGGATGAGAAAAAACTGGAGGATGTCACATCTGAACAACTTTCTTGCCACGTCGTTGTAAAAAAAGTACTTATGGGTCATTTGATAAAACTGATTCATAAGCTAGAAAATGGTGGTATAGAATCCTCTAGCACTATATGGATGTTGGTAATAACATTCACTACATACAGGTTTCTGAATATACAGGATGATTTTCATGAGAATTCATGTTTTACACTATTCTATTGGGTGGTTCATATTTTTTTCAACTTAAAAAAAAAATAAGTAGACGTCTACGTGCCACTTTTCAGCTAAGCGTTTTCACACATAAAAAGTTGAATTCCGCAAAAAAATTCAAGCTTCAAAGTGTGACTAACAATGAAAGTAATAGGTGAGTTTGTCGTAGTTGTGATTGTTATCAATATATCTTCATTTAATATATCAAGATAACGATTTGAATTATGAATTTTGAAGTAAAAAGTAAGAATAACCACATAAAATAGTGTACCATCTATCTACACTGAGTTCAATAGACTTTCTAGAATAGAAATGTCATTATAACTATTGTTATTAAACAAATTCATTCCGTACTATAAAGTCGTAATTTAGGAATGAATTGTGTGTTTTCTCTAATGTTATACAGATTGGTACTAAAGAGCCCAAGGCAAGTGTCTTACGGTGAAACATGGATGTCTACCAGTGAGTATAACAGTGTTCCATGTAAGTGAAATTTTTACCTTTCATTTAGTTTATCCTGTAGGAATTCTCTGAATAATATCTTATTCAATTTCATAATGAATGTTTGAAATACAAACTGAGTAGAGATGAGTCTCTATATGGTGTTACATTCCTGGACTATGGTTATTTGAATAGATATGAGAAAAAAATGTCAGAAATCACGTATCAATTCGGGTCAATTGTCGTATAATGAATTTCAGGATATTACTCACCGAGTATGTGCAGATCAACCATCAGAAGGAATGCCAGAAAAATATTGATTTCCATTGTTAGTCCTCGCGAAGAATATCTCTCACATCGATCTGAAAAATACGATAAATTAATTGATACCCTGTGTGTTATTGTATCGTCATTTTATACCAATGATACGCAAATATTCGATTAACGAAATGTGACTGGTAATGTCGACAGGGAGTAAAATAAAAATGACATAAACAACATTGTTCATACGGAAAATGAATTAAGAATTGATGCAAGAATCAGAAATATTCAGGGTTAATTTAGAAAATCTTCATTCTTCTAGTGATGTCGATGGCGAAAAGTTGAGGAACTCACTCGAAATAACCGTTAGTCAATAAATTCGAAAAATTATGAAAATTACTAGAGTTTTTTCCCAACACTTTCCGTATTTCAACACCTCGACACATGTTTCGATCACCAAGTGATCGTTACTACAACAAAGGTTCCAAACAGCGTATCACAAGTCGAAAAAGTATGATATTGCTTAGACGAGAATTGAATTGAGTATTTTCATTCTGACGATATTCACACAAGAATTGACAATTCACAAAAAGTAGGAAAATGTGTTTGAATTTCCATCAAAAACTGTTATGTAGAGCTTTATCAATTTCATCGGCATAAGGGCTCTAAATGCCATTATTGATTAACCTCCTTCAATTCAATATTTGATCGAGTAATGAATGAGACATTTTTCTATGAATTAATGAAATCTACAAATGTCAATGAATCAACAATTACTTGTTTTCGCAGCATTCCTATATCGAACGATAAAAAAATAATGAAAAATGGAGTTATGGGAAATTGAGTGAGTTTGTAACACCATTCAGATATGGCAAATTCATAAATCAATTGACAGGGTTTCAGATGTGAAATATTTTCTAACTATTTTCCATATTACTTATCATTTTCATATTTCTGGATGAAAGTTGTGAAAGTTGACATGTTCGATTGTTAACTGAATATTTTTGGTACCATCAGGATGTTTCACCTTCTCATAGTTACAGGAACATAGGGCTTTACTTAATAGAATTTTCAATGGATGAAGGTTGGTCAATGATGTACCTACATATATGCATTCAAAGCTATTGATACCGATTGAATAAATTGATTTTTCATGAAACTTTTTAGAATAAATATATTTCTCATTTATTATTTATCCACCAGAAATCATGTCGAAATGAAAGTTTCATAGCCTGTAGTTTCATGGAATATAAAGTATTGCATTTGAGCAAGCCAGTTTTGTCAATGTCTAAACAGGGTGTCAATTGAGTATGTACATAAATTCAGAAGACGATTCTTAAATAATTTCAAGACGAAATGTTCATATAAACATGGGTCCGCAAATCCTTCGTTCTCAAGATACAGGGTGTTGAAATAAAAATTGAAAAAAGTTTTTCTTAAATATCTTGAATATCCTTTACCTAATTTCGTTGTTATTTGGTAATGGTATTTATAACATTAGAGAGCTAATTTAGCCCAAACGTGATTCAATTTATAAAGTCCAGTGGCGTCTCGAGCGCTATTTGAACGAATATTTTTGACTTAAAAATGTACGCCACTGACTTTTGTGCAATTTTTATTATTTCTTTGGATTGATCCATCAGAAATCAGAAAATACTTTTTTGTCTCATAAATTTTTTTCGTATCTTGTTTAGTTTTTAAGAAAAAAAAGTCGACCTAATTGCATATCTCTGGACCTCACAAGGAATAATATGGGGAATTAAATGTTTCTTTTGGAAATTATTATTTTTACAATTTGTCCTTGATAATTATGTAACAATAACAACAAATAGTAAATAACATTAACATCTAGACTAACGAATTGCACTAAATTAAGTGTTGGGAATGGCCTCCTTCGGCTTCAACACAACCGTCTAGCCGCCGCATCATTGAATTTCGCACTCTTCTTTAAGTACCTGGCGTATTTTTATTATGTCACATGAATTAATGATTTGATTCCGTAAATCCTCTTCACTTCGAATAGCAGTTTTGTATATCAACGCTTTAAGGTGTCCCCAGAGAAAATAATCTACAATAACGAAATAAAATGTCTCTTAGGTACATAGTTGTAGGAAAAACCCTACACTTTTTTTTTTTCAGGGTTATCAAATCAATTTATATTATATTAGACAATGGAAGTCCGAATTGATGAAATATATGGTAATTTTCATCCAAAAATTGTCGTGCCACTACACTAAAGTGCATGTACCACATACGGAATCTTTCCGTGACTGGAATTTCTTCTCTAAAAGTCCAGGTAAAACAATTTCTAAATACCCTCGGTATTCTTCTCCATTAAGTCTAGGTAGAAGGAAGTGAGGCCCAATGAGATGGTCACCGACAATTCCAACCCAAATATTAAAAGAAAACTGTTCTTGCAAATTATTTTCTATCAAGGCGTGTGGATTGTTTTCGGCCCAAATGTGATTGTTGTAGAAGTTAATAATTGAATTGCGAGAAAAACATGCTTCATCTGTAAACGATATTCGACTTAGGAAACCTTATTAACCGCATAACCAATTAGAAAAAGCTAGTCTTACAGGCAAATCTCTGGGCAATAGAGCTTGCACACGTTGCATGTGATAGGGATATAGCTGCTGGGCTCATAAAATCTGCCACACTGTGACATGGGTAATATTCAGTTCTTCAGCTATTTTCCGAGTACTGGTATGATGATTTACTTCAATCTCATTTAAAACAGCTTCTTCAATTTGAACTGTTCGTACCGTTGCAGGCCTCCTAACACACTTTTTATAACAATTATAAATTAAAAGCTCATAAAGTTGACAACAACTGTCAAGTTGTTTACTAAAAACAATCGTTTTCCAAGGCAACCCTTGATTATAATTTATGGTTTTTTCAGAAGAGTGCGAAATTCAATGATGCGGCGGCTAGACGGTTGTGTTGAAGCCGAAGTAGGCCAGTTCCAACACTTCATTTAGTGCAATTCGTTAGTCTAGATGTTAATGTTATTCAATACTTGTTGTTATTGTAACATAATTGGTAATGAAGGATTGTAAGAATAATAATTTCCAGAAAAAACATTTAGATCCCCATATTATTCCTTGTGAGGTCCAGGGATATGAAATTAGGTCGACTTTTTTTCTTAAAAAATAAGCAAGATACGAAAAAAATTCAATAGACAAAAAAGTTGTATTTCTAATTGCCTAATCTAAAGAAATGATAAAAATTGCACAAGAGTCAGTGGCTTACATTTTTAAGTCAAAAATATTCGTTCAAATACCGCTCGAGGCGCCACTGGACTTGATACATTGAATCACGTTTGGGCTAAATTAGCTCTTCAATGTTATAAATACCATTACCAAATAACAACGAAATTAGGTAAAGGATATTCAAGACATTTACGAATAACTTTTTTTCATTTTCATTTCAACACCCTGAATTTTGAGAACGAAGGATTTGCGGATACATGTTTATATGAACATTTCGTCTTGAAATTACCTAAAGAATCGTCAGTTGAATTTATGGTACATACTTCATTAACACCCTGTATATCTCCATGTTCCATTTGACAACGCATTTTTTGTCCATTTTTATATATCTTTAGAATCAGTCACCGATTCCGAACAACATTTTGGAAATGATAGGCCTACAGAACATTAAAATTCTAATGAATCTGATGAAGCTCATGCACGTATTCTATTCAACTCGTTTATTTCGTGGAAAAATTACTCGAAGTCGAAATCCTACTTTTATGAATAAACAAAAAAAAAGTGTCACGTACCTATCCAGAAATGAGAAAACATTTGAGGTGTATTTATTTTCATTCGCTACAGTATACCAGAAACTCTACTTTTGCCAAGGTTCGAAATATAAATCCTGTTATTTCCAAAGATATGACTAACCTCCTTCAACACGCTGTATCTTGTTCCAGTTAACCCTAACCTTCAAAAGACAGCTGTTGGATAGTTAGTCCCTGAATGAAAAGAAATGTTCTGTATTAATGGAGCATTGCTTTTTGGCGAAAAAAAATACTATTGAAGCCAAGACCTAGCTTCATTAACATTATTCAGATTTTGCACCAGAAAAATCAATCGTTAAAAAGTGGTGTGTGATGCACTATTGGGTGTAGTAATGAATATTACTGGAGTTTTATCCCAACACCAAACTGTTAATGGTTTCACATTAATTTTACAATGTTGCCTTATCTAATAGTCAGGTAAATCTGATAAATAAAATATTAAATAAAAATCCTGTTATTTCCAAAGATATGATTAACCTCCGGCAACACGCTGTATCTTGTTCCAGTCAACCCTAACCTTCAAAAGACAGCTGTTGGATAGTTAGTTCCTGAATGAAAAGAAATGTTGTGTATTAATGAAGCATTGCTTTTTGGCGAAAAAAAATACTGTTGAAACCAAGACCTAGCTTCATTAACATTATTTAGATTTTGAACCAGAAAAATCAATCGTTGAAAAGTGGTGTGTGATGCACTATTGGGGACCTTTGGTGTAGTAATGAATAATACTGAAGTTTTATCCCAACACCAAACTGTTAATGGTTTCATATTAATTTTACAATGTTGCCTTATCTAATAGTCATGTATATTTGATAAATGAAATATTATGTCAACAAGCTATATAGTATACTGTTAGGTCTTGATCCACCATCTTTATTCATGATATTATTATGTTTACTTATTTCTACACTACCATAGGCATCTAGATGCCTGTTGTTGTTAACTTGTCTAACAAATCTCAATGAACTAAAGTCTATAGAATAGTTTTGTTGCAAAATATGATGAGCTACTGCTGATTTTTCTGGTCTCCCATATTTTAGGTGTGCTGAGTGTTCTTTATATCTTATTTTGATAGATCTTTTAGTCTGTCTATAATATTTTGCATATCGGAGTCCCCACATTCAATTTCGTATATCCCAGACTTTTTCGAATTCTCGACTTTGTCTTTTGGATTCCTAAGAGGCTCTGTAGTGTATGACTACTTAGCTCCTTGGAAATCTTTCCGAAGTTCTTCGTACATTGGTGGTATGGAACTGCGATATATTTATCTTGGTTTTCGTCGTTTCCAAAAGTCGAGATTCC